TATATAGTAATAATCTATGTAACGTGATAATGGTATAATATTGTCCCATTACAGTCGCATCGTGTAATCTTTGGGATAAGAATCATATATCTTTGAGCTCATCCAATCGAAATCTTTTGTGGTGATAAAGTTCATGAAGAAAATATATATATTTTATAATTCAGATTATTAAATTATAAAATATTAATTATTCGATAATAAAGAGTTTTCAGATAATAATTACTAACTTTTTCTTTTATATATATATATTTACTGTTTTATAATTTGATATAATCCAACCAAATACCCTTACTTCCTGTGATTGGTGCCTCTTTCTGTGGCTTTTGTGTGGCTGAACTTAATTAGTTCATGGTTTCTTTTTTTTCTTTTTTTCTTTTTTAAACTAATATAATTGGAGGATAAGAAATGAGATTACCAAAACTTAAATCTTAGATTTCTAGATGCTACTATGCTTTTTAAAAGAGTTGTGACTATTAGATTACAATAGTGGTTGACGATTTGCTCATGTTTTTTTTTTTTTCTTGAAAAGTAACAATTTATACTGACAATATTAGTACCAATTTTTTTAGATAATGAAAGAGTATTAAATTTGAGACTCGAATTTCACGTTATTAGAGATGCCACCAATTCACTTCTCAAAGAGAAGTATAACCACTTAAACTACATGACTAATTGGCAACCAGCTCATGGTTTGATCCTTATTTTGTCGTTACTTTTGTTACCTGTACAGTAGCGTTACGCTGAACTGATATCACCTTGTATTGGATGGGACTAGGCATTTGCGAACTTACCGAACTGTTAGCCGAAAGCCGGCCCTGTAAGAATGATTTTGGATTGGGCTTTATGGTTTTCGGCTAAAATGGGTTGGTTTTGAGAAAAACAGGATGGACTTCTCTGCGGTTTTCTGTAAGAGGGCCCAATACCCAAATACCAAACACCTGCCTCCAGCCAAAACCGAATTTCACTAAAAATACAAAATCAAAAAAATCTTATGCTGCTTGATCGCGTGTTTCCCTAACTTCTTATTAAGTAAAATGTTTTTTTAATATGTTATAAGTTGCAAGTGTAATTAATATATATTTTTAATTAATTTTTATTAAATATATAAATATTAATTTATATAATTTTTTATATAAATTAATTAAAAAAATATTCATTACACAGTTATAACATAGGTTAGATAAATTTTTAAATAAAAAGAATTTTTAACATGTACTTTAATATACAGTTAAGAGAATTTTTATTATAAGAATATATAAAATTTAACATTAATTTTAATATTAATATCAAATGAATGAATAAAATTTGATAATTAATAAATTAAAAATCAATTTTTTTTTCCTCTAAAAGTGAAGAGAAGACAATCTACTTGCATATTCCAAATCAGATCTGCCTTTTTTCTGCCCCAATATTTGCTCGACTGACTCTAGCCGTCGTTGCAACGCCGTTGGCAGTCCGTCTCCTCACAACACTGCTTCCTACTCTTTAAATTTATTTATTTTTTATTTTAAATATATTTTCTTTTTTATTTTTTCAAGGTAATATTACTAAGCACATAAATTATCTCTAAATTTTTAATTTATAAAATTAAAAATTAAAAAAAAATTATTTTAAAATAAAAAGAGTACAATTTTTCCTTTTTGTAATATATTGAGTTAGAGAGTGCACTCGGGTGAGCTCTAAAAAATGCAACTTCATGTTTTTACTTAAAAAAAATCAACATAGTTGAAAATGTAAGCTTAAGAATGACAACATGAATGATAACTTATGGTAATTAAGCACACTGCAAATTCATTAAAAAAGATATAAAAAGTTTTCATGAAAAAAAAAATGGATTGCAGGACAATATTGTCAATAATTTATATAAAAAGGATTTTTTTTTAAAAAAAAATGAAAGAAGAATATTATTAATATCTAGAATGAAAGCGAGAGAATTGCAGGACAATCCATTCGATATTGACAGAGTAAGAATCCCGCCGCAGGGAAAGAATATTATTAATATCCAGAATGCTTGGGCCAGAATCTGGTATGCTATTATTTGGTCTATATGGCTATGGGGGAACCAGTTGATGTTCAAATTAAAATGAGAAGGTAATTAAACTGGGAAGAGGCACTTGAACTTGTAAAAATTAGATCCCTTCACTGGCTTAAAGCAAATAAATGGCCTAATTTATACTTGAGTTATGGAGCAGTTCACCTAGAGAAGCACTGGAAGCTGCAGGAAGTTCACCTATTCTTTTAGTTGGTTTGTGCTGTCTCAATGGCGATGGCAGGCTGTATTAATTGCGTTTTGTTGTTTGATCATTGTTGAATTAAATGTTTGGGTATGAGTATTTCTTGTACTTATTTCTTAATAAAAATTTTATTTTGTTGGCTGATCAAAGAAAAAAATCTTTACAAATATTTGATTTATTAAGCATCATTAGTGGTTCCCATCACTTCCATGAAAATTGAGCATAGAAGTTTTAACATAGCTTACATCCAATTTCAAGTCAATTAACAATAAGTGAAATGATCATTTTTATATTTAACTTACATATTTTTTATTATATACTTAATATAGAATTTTCCCAACTCAACAACTTCCACTTGTGTCCTCAAAAGATGTACAATGTGACTTCTCTTCTCTCCCATTATTCTCTTTAAAAATAAAACAAAAACAGAGCTTAAGTCTATTAGAGTATTTTAAAGAAGAGAGTTGGTCTCTCTATAGAATGATCAGCTCTTTTTAACTTTTTTTGCCCCACCTGACGTGCACTAATACACATTTCAAGCTCTGTGGAGAGCTAAAATCAAACGGCTGACATATTTTTTTTCTTTTTGAATTTTTTCAATTCAAATTTTTTGGTTTGAGTATATAAAATATGGGTTAAATAAAACAATGTAATGAGATTTTTTATTTTTAAGGAAGTTTTATTTAGATGTATGCATTGAAATGTAAGTGTTTCATTTGAGGGTTAAATATATATATATATATTTAAGTTTATAATATAAAATAATATTAATTGTGATAATAAAGCATTAACAAAATAACAAAGAAAGCTTTGCCATTGTACATTCTCTCATAATTTTTTTTTATCGGCATACATGACCCTCATAATCGTCCAGGTTCAACCCTTGTATCAGTTTTTTTTCTTTTTTTCTTTTTTTTTTATCATCATCCTTGTATCCTTAAATCAGCCTTCAACCAAATCGCATAATAACAGTTGCATTTTAATCGAAATTAAGTTAAGTCTCGCTTTAAGATTAGTACAAATAAGTCTGCATGACTGAACGTAGGCCCTTTAAAATTTTAAAAATTAAAAATATTCCAACAAAATAATAAACAGGTTGAGCCTGGCCTCGAGTCAGTCATGGTTTTGTCGTTGTCCCGTGCTCAGAAGTCATGCTCAGGATCAGGACCGACTTGTTGTAAAGGTAGTCCTTAACCGATATCGAACCACGACTAGGTCTTTGTCTCGATCCCTGACCTGTCCGAGCGCGAGCAATCTCGCTCGGGACCG